CGCAACCCCATATTTCTTTGTCTCCCATCTCTCGTGATGACCTGTCTGGGGGTTGGCAGAAGAGTAGAGAGGGTTTCTGGATGGGCTGCCAAGAGTGGCACCTGAGGTTAAAGTCCCATGTCACAGCCACTAAACCACACACACACACACCCCCCCCACACACACACACAAGAGGCCACAGGAAAGCGGGTAGAGCGCCCAGCACACGTGAGCTCCAGTGGTTGTTGCAGATGCCCAAGCACATCCGTCCCCTGTGTGGGGGTCACGGGGAGGCTGGCTCGGGCCTCACTTGCCTTTTGACGGACAGAGAGGCCAAGGCAGATGATGAGCCTGGGGAAATCCACTTCCTGCTGTCTGTCCCCTTCTCTCCCCAGGGCTGTCTGGCCTCCTTTGGTCACTTCACCTGCCCCTATCCCCTCAGACTTCAGCTTCCTTTGTCACCCTGTTGACAAAGCTCACTGCCCCTTTCTGGGTCCCGGAAGTCACATCTCCTTCCACTTTTCAAAGTCCTCTCAGTGTGATCCTTGTCCAGGGAGGAGGGGGGATGAGCCTGCGGGGAGCGGGCAGGAGAATGAGGTTGATGGAGGTGAAGTGACCGCTAGGCCACCACTCGTGGGTCGACAAACATGTCCTGTGTGGCTGCTGGGCACCAAGGGAGTGACTGTGAAGCAGGGAATGTGTCTGGGATTCAGAGCTCCCCAGCCAGTTATGGACACCAGCTGGGGTCAACATCCTGCCTATCTCTTAACTCCTTGTTATCAGGTCCCTGGGGCGGGGGGGACTCACTAACTTGTTTTGAAAGACCCCTAGAGCCAGGCACGGTGGCACACATCTGTAATCCCAGTGGCTCGAGAGGCTGAGGCAGGAGGATCTCGAGTTCAAAGCCAGCCACAGCAACTTAGCAAGGCCCTAAGCAACTCAGTGAGACCCTGTCTCTAAATAAAATAGAAAATAGGGCTGGGGATGGGGCTCAGTGGTTAAGGGTCCCTGAGTTCAATCCCTGGTACCAAAAAAAACAAAAAAAAAGAAAGAAAGGAAGGAAGGAAAGAAGGAAGGAAGGAAGGAAGGAAGGAAGAAGGACCCATATACTCTGCCTGCTGATTTCCTCTTGACCTTCTTATTCCACCCAAAGCTGCAGCGAGGTCTTTGCCAGAGCAGTCAACTTTGTTCTGATGGTTCGTACACTCCTTCAACAAATACCGAAAACCAGCTGGGTGCTAGGCCCTGTCTTTGGTTCTATACCCAGAAGAGGTGATCAGACCAAAGCACCCCACCTGGCCCTCCTGGAACCTGTAGACTGGCTGGGGCTCAGATCTCCACCAGACGGCAGATGGCAGCTAGGGAAGGGTGTTGAGGAAATCACATTTGGTGATGAGTGCTGGTCCCCAGGCTGGCCCAGTCTGTGGGACACTGATGTGGACAGGTGGGGAGAAGAGTGTGGCTTTGTCATTCAGCATTTCCCCTCCGATGCTGATTGGAGCTGACTAGGAAGAATTCGTCCTCTGTCTACGCTACTGCTTTCCTGTCCTTCTACAAAGTGCCTCTCAACTGGCCTCCCTACCTATTCCCTTTGTCCCTTCCAGTCCTGTGACGTGAACCAGCTTGAAATCCTCAATGGCTTCCCAGTGCCCTTGTATTCTTTTTATGGATTAACAATAAAAGGCTGAAAACTGACATTTTTTATTTGTTCTAGTTAGTTTTACATGAGAACAGAATGCATTTGGACACACACAAAATGCATTTGTCCCCAAATGGAGCTCAACATCTCATTCCTCCGACTGTACACGATGCAGAATTGCACGGCTCCTGCAATCATGCATGTATATAGGGTGATAATGTCCATCTCATTCCACCGTCCTTCCCACTCCCACATTCCCTCCCTCCCTTCATTTCCCCTCTGTGCAATCCAAAGTTCCTCCTTCTCCCCTACCTCCACCCTCACTATGGATCAGCATCCACTTCTCAGAGAAAACAGTCAGCCTTTGGTTTGTTGGGATTGGCTTAGTTCCTTTAGCATGATAGTCTCCAACTCCATCTATTTACCAGCCAATACCATCATTCCATTCTTCTTCAAGGCTGAGTAATATTCCATTGTGTATATATACAGCATTTTCTTTATCCATTCACCTGTTGAAGGGCACCTAGGCTAGTTCCATAGTTTAGCTCTTGTTAATTGAGCTGCTATAAACATTGGTGTGACTGTGTCACTGTAGTATGCTGATATGAAGTCCTTTGGGTATAAACCAAAGAGAGGGATAGCTGGGTCAAATGGTGGTTCCATTCCCAGTTTCCTGCAGAATCTCCATACTGCTTTCCAGAGTGGTTGCACCAATTTGCAGTCCCAGCAGCAGTGCCTTTAAAATGCAGGCTATTAGCCCTGATGCCTGCCTTACCCAGCAAGCTAGGGCCAGAGCTGGCATGGGACCATGGTTTAAAGTGCCTGTCACAACAATACATTGCCTTTCCAGAGACTTCTTTATGTGCCTCAGAACTTTGGTCTTCCTTGAGGTCTAGGCCTGAAGCTGAGGCTCACAATAGGTTAGACAGAGAAACCGTCTGCGTGTAGCATTCCAGGTTTTTGGGTGAGTTATTTAGCTCATTAAGGCTCCTCCGCCCTGAGCATTCATCTGGAACTTTTCCTCTGTAATTGATTTTCAAAGGACCTCCAAGGTCTCAACCAAGTCCCAGTTTCCAGGAAGTGGGGAGCCGGCCCCTCTCTATGCTGTGAAGAAGCCCCCAGCCCCCCTTCCTAAACTAATTACTTCATCCAGCCAACAATAAACAGAAGTCATCTTTGTGACATCTCTCCACCCAAAGAAAGTGTTGCAATAAAGCGTGAGGCATCGGGATGCCCTCCAAGTGCCCCCAGGCAATACCACCTCCGTCCTGGCCAGCCACGGCGCTTCCTACAGTCGCACAGAGGAACATCCGACATTTGCTCTGCCTTTCGAGGGATCTTTATGCACCTTATGAAGTGTGACCAGGACACAGCTCAGGAGTGCCTGTTGTTCCCTCTCTGAATATGAGCCTTGTATTACATCCCAGAACCATGTAGCTCTGTCACTTTGGAGTGGTGGATAATGGACCGAAAGCAAGAAGCTCTTAATAGGTGGCATGAAGCCAGAACTCAGGCACAGCAGCCAAACCACTAAGGGAGGGTCCCACCGGGCGGAACAGCCCCAGAGGGAAGGAATCAGGTTGCAGTAAAAAAACCAGATGTTGCTGGGTATGGTGGCCCAAGCCTGGAATCCCAACAGCTAGGGAGGCTAAGGCAGGAGGATCCTGAGTTCAAAGCCAGCCTCAGCAACAGGGAGGCCCGAAGCAACTCAGTGAGACCCTGTCTCTAAATAAAATACAAAATAGGGCTGGGGATGTGGCTCAGTGGTCAAGTGCCCCTGAGTTCAATCCCCAGTAACCCCTGCTACCCAGAAAGAGACCAGATATTGGTCATCAGACAGTTTTGGTGACCAAGAACGATTCCTTTCCCCTGTCTTGGTTTTTCTATCTACAAAGCAGACAGCAGAGAGCACCACAGTTCATTGCTAATTTTCTAAGGGTCAGGTGCTGTACTAGAGGCAATAGATATTGTGGAGAACAAGGACACACCGTTGCCTGGTATAGCGGCTCACACCTGTGATCCCAATGACTCGGGAGGCCAGCCAGAGGATTGCAATTTCAGAGCCATCCTCAGCAACTTAGTGAGACCCTAAGCAACTTAGATCCTGTCCCAAAATCAAAATATAAAAAGGGCTGGAGATGTGGCTCAGTGGTAGAGTACCGCTGGGTTTAATCTCCAGTATAAATAAATAAATAGGGAAAAAGGGACCTAGTCCTGCCTGTCTGGAGCTTACATTCAGGAAGGTAATAAAATTTAAATATATGATTATCTAATACTCATTTAATTCCACTAATGACAAGCATCATCAATCCAGGGAATAAAATGAGGTACAGATACTAGTTATCAAGAGCTCTGTCCACACATCATGCCAGCTACTTTACCCTATAATGATCATAACAGCTTATGTGGCATTTAGTGAGTCAGGCACTGTTTTAAGTACACTTCATTGAATCCTCATTGTAAAAGACCTATGTATATAGTGACCATTACCCCCACCGTATAGAAAGGAACACTAAGAGGTTAACTTACCAAAATTCACACTGCCACTAAGTAGCAGAGAAAGAACCCCCGGTGGCCTGAGCAGAGACCTGCTGCCTCTTGTAATATTGTCCCATGCAATCCTTGCTACACCTGGGAGGGACTGTCCTCTCTATCTGGGGTTTTGCTTTCTGCAAAGTAGTCAAGTACAATCTAAAAATATTAAATTGAAAAATTCCAGAAATGAGCAACTTGTAAGTTTTAAGTAACTTTTATGACAATGCATTGTTATAATTGTTCTAGTTTATTGTTGGTATTATTGCTAATCCCTTACTGGGTCTGATGTATAAATGAAGCTATATCATACTTATATAGGTATAGGACAAAAACCATGGTATATATAGGGTTTAGTAATATTCATGGTTTTAGCCACCCACTGGGGTACTTGAAAGATATCCCTTTTAGCTGGGCATGGTAGCACACACCTATAATCCCAGTGGCTCAGGAGGCTGAGGCAGGAGGATCGTGAGTTCAATGCCTCAGCAATAGCAAGGCCTTAAGCAACTCAGTGAGACCCTGTCTCTAAATAAAATACAAAATAGGACTGGGAATGGGGCTCAGTGGTCAAATGCCCCTGAGTTTAATTCTCGGTACCCTGCACCCCCCAAAAGACATCCCCTTCATATAAGGGGAGACTGTGGTAATATTGCTACTTTCATTTTGCAAATATGGACACAGAAGCAAAATGTGTGACTTGGCTGAGTTTGCACAGTGAGGAGGTGGTAGGACTGGGTGTGACCACACTGCTGCCTTCCGTGGGACACTTGAGAGACAGCCCTATGTCCACCCCAAGGAACCAGCATCTCCATGGCTGACTCTCTTTCCTGGCCCTTTTCTACCTCAGGTGTTCCTGAAGAGCGACCGTGTGGCCCGCATGGTGCAGAGTGGAGGCTGCTCGGCCAACGACTCCCGGGAGGTCTTCAAGAAGCACATCGAGAAGAGGGTGCGCAGCCTGCCCGAGATTGACGGCCTCAGTAAGGAGACCGTGCTGAGCTCCTGGATGGCTAAGTTTGATGCCATCTACCGTGGGGAAGAGGACCCTAGGAAACAGCAGGCCCGGATGACGGCTAGCGCGGCCTCCGAGCTGATTCTGAGCAAGGAGCAACTCTACGAGATGTTCCAGAACATTCTTGGGATCAAGAAGTTCGAACATCAGCTCCTGTACAATGCCTGTCAGGTAAGATGTCTCTCACCTGGGCCCAGAGCCATCGGGTAAGCAGAGATATGGTATGATTTTCCTGATAAGAAGACATTAAAATTTGGGCTGGGGCTGGGGCTCATCAGTAGGGCATTGCCTAGCACATGTGAGGCCCTGGGTTCGATCCTCAGCACCACATAAAAATAAAAAATAAAATAAAATAAAGGTATATGTCCAACTACAACTGAAAAATAAGTATTTTTTTTAAAAAAGAAAACATTAAAATTGTATTTTATGACTATATTAGCATAACACTGTGTATAATAGAGACTAGATTATATTCATAGATTTTTTTATTAACAACTTACTGTTAATATGCTTTAATTCCATTTGGATATAGTTATATAAGCATGGAATATATCTTATTCTAATTAGATCCCCATGCTTATGCATGTCCATGTAGATTTTTTTCTGATTTTTTTTATTTTTTTGGTCATTTTTTTCTGATTCTGTAATAAACTGAAATATTTTTCCTGGGCTGCTAGAAGTCTCACGGGCCCTAAGATTGAGCTCATGGTGTTGAGGGGGAAAATTCGCCCTATGAGTAAGACATGCTTTTCGTGTGTCAAAAAATGTCAAAAATCAAACTGACGACTCTTTTAAAAGATAGTTCTGCCTATAAAATAGGGGGTGTCATCAGTTGAGTTCACACTTCTTCCGCTGGGGAAATGTAACACCTGGTCGTCCAGAGTGATTATTTAAAATAGAAAGCTCGGGCAGTTCTGGGTTTCATCATAGCTCTGTGTCAATCACAGCATGAGTTTCTGGGTGTGACCAAGCGGGAGACCAGAGGCTTTACTTGAACCCACCCTAAAACAGGCCTATATTTCCTCTGGGTGGAGAGTTGTTCTAGATCTTAATTTCCTGCATGACCTTACCATGATATCCATTCATTCAACAAATACTTATTTTGTCTTCTTTGCAAGACTTTGAACATTTTAGTACATTTCACTGTGGAACATTTTTTAAATGCACATCCCTGGCCTTTAACCCTAGAGATTCTTGTTCTGCAAGCCAGAGTAGGGTCCAGGAATCCACATTTGAAAATAAGGGCTTATTCCCATTTCCTTCTAAGAACTCTTGGCAAAACAGTTGGCTCTGATTTCCCTGGGCCAGTGCAATTTCTACCACAGGTTAAATTAGGGCACTTAAGGGTATTAACAAGATTTGCTCTTTGCTCAGAGTCAGACAGACCTAGGGAAATCCTAGCCTGACCCCTTGTTAGCTTTGTGGCCTTGGGGTTTAGTTAACTTCCCTACATGAGTCTGCATTTATAATCAATTAAATACTGATTTAGCCATAGAGGAGAACATGTTTAATCCAATAAAAGAGTTGTTGAAGAATCAAGCATCCATGTGGGAAATTTTTCATTGGATACTAATAATTGGAAAAACTATCTGGCTACGCAACAGAATATGGAGATATAGCCCCATTTTTATGGAGGAAAATAAAGAATAGAAAAAGTACCGGATGGGCAGAAACGAAAACATGGACTGGGTTTATCTTAACGGGATGATATTATGGCTGATTTTTATGATTTTCGCTTGTGCTGTCTCACATTTTTCTACCTTAAACTTGTGGTTATTTTGAAAATGGAAGTAAATACTAAAAAATCTCTACAAAGAAACAATCAAAACAATGGGATAAGGAAAAAATAATCTTCTGAATGGTTTTCTAGACTTTGACTATCAACATCCTACCTGTGTGATTTTTTCCATTTCTGAGTACCATCTGTATAATCGCTGAATTCTTTTTTTATTTTGTACCAGGAATTGAACCCAAGGGTGCTTAACCACAGAGACATATATCCCCAGCCCTTTTTATATTTTATTTAGAGATGGGGTCTCACTGAGTTGCTTAGGGCCTCACTAAGTTGCTGAGGCTGGTTTTGAATTTGTGATCCTCCTGACTCAGCCTCCTGAGCCTCTGGGATTACAGGTCTGGTGTATGATCATTGAATATTTTGTGTTTAGTCAATGGCCAACTCACTTTTTAATCTGTCTGTATCTTAAGAAGTAATGCATGTGAAATCACATCTTTGATATACTCATTTCTCTCTCTCTCTCTCTCTCTCTCTCTCTCTCTCTCTCTCTCTCTCTCAAATATACATTAAAACAAAACAGAACTATTGAAGTAGAAGCTGTTCATTAGTTGGTCCTCTTAGATCATCTCACAGTGTCAGTGATGTACAGCCAGGGCCCTGTGTATACAAGTTGGTGGGGCAGAGGTCTCTGCTGCTGTGTCCCAAAATATCCCCATGCTGATCAGAGCAGCTCTCACATGAAGTCTGCACAACCAGCAAAGCATAGGTATAATTTACTTCCCTTCTCTTCCCTTGGGGGCAGCCCATACATGGACAGGCAGGGGAACCTACTGAATGTCTCACATCCTTTAATCAGATATCAGAAATTAGAAATTCACTGGCTTGCTTTCTCCTAGACTTCCCTCAGATCTGCCAGACCTCTGTCAACTCACATGAGCAAGAATAAGAAAAATGATATCCTATAGCTTTCCTCCTCACCCTGCCTCCTCAATGATTTCTTATTTTTGTATTTTCTGCTCTTCCATTCTCCTCCCCCACTTCCTTACAAGACAAAGCAATTCCTAGGCACTTCCAAAAATATGCACGAAGTGTTCCTTTTATGCATGTCGTATCTGAGGGGAAGAAGCTGTAATCTCATTTCTGTTGCTGCTTTGGAAAGTTCCCACCATCTCTCTTTACGGGGACCTGCCAGTGGCTGCCATTTTCATCTCAAGTGAGAAATGACACTTATCAAAGAGCAATTACATCAGTTACACATCCGTTGTCTGTTGGAACGTGAATTGTGTCCATCAAAACATAAAAGCAAGAAGCCTTAACAAATGTCTCCCTGTTTGCACGTGGAATTTTTTTTTAAAGTCGATTTTATTTAAGAATGTATGGATCACTCTTCCAGAACAAGTTGCTCACGTTCAACAAACTATCCAATGCAAAATAATTGACAACCCATTAGAAAATCAGTGTTGTTTTTATTTTTCATAGGCCTTTGGGAAGAAGCAGTTAATTATGGAGCTCTTTGAGCATTTAAGCTGTATGCTAAAGCTAACTCAGAAAAACAAATAGAAATGTTATCTGTTGGAGATGGGTTGCATCATCTGAAAAATCAGACTAAGGCAATGCTGTGTTCCATCTTCACGAAATGCAAAGCTCATGCTGATGATAATAATGGTGTGATGTTTAAAAGTCTCCCTAAGATGCCTCACCCCTCCCAGTCCTCTTAAGTGACCTTCAAATTTGCTTTTGGTTGGATACCATGTGTCTGCAATCTGCTTGCTATCTTCTACTTCCTATTCCTCTGCTAAGGACACAAGTCATCTTTAATTGCCTCTTTCTGAAATATATGGGCATTTCCCTTGGAAAAACACCTTGGAGATGCACTTCGGGAAGAGACAAGCATAGATGGTCACATTTTTAAATGCAAATAAATACTTCTTGGCAGAGTCACTTAGCTGATGCTGAAGGGTGGTAAATGAGCAGGACCTAAAGAAAATTATTTGGGCTCTACTGATTATACTCTTTGCTCCAGGGACCGTCAGCTGGAGTCCACTAGCTTTCTCTGTGACCACCACTCATGCCCAATGGCCAACAGAAATGACATTCATGTTCCGACTCTTAGGATGTGACAGTGTACTTCCCCTCTGAATCTCTAAGAGTTTTCAGATGAATCTAAAAACCTTGACTAGACACATGGAATGTGATTTCCCTATCTATGGAACACCTTTGCGTTTTTCAGTATTGAATTCGTCATCGTTACAGAGTTGCTAATTCTCTTACTATTTCATTTTCTTCCCTCCAAACCATCAACAACATCAATGTGGCCTTGGATGATGGGGTTATCTCATTACAGTACTGTCTTCCTCGGACTTGATTAGCACTTGGCAGGTTTTCAGATAGTTTATTAAGCTCTAAAGAGAAACTTCAAATCATAGGCTTTCAGCTGTGACCCAGATTGCTGGGCGGTATCATACCTCATTATGGAGTCCTTAATCTCCGAATAAGTACGTCGTAGCTTTTTCCTGGTTCAGAAGTTCCCAAAAGATCTGCTAGCTAAAAATTTGCTTCTTGGGACAAACTCTATTTCTTAATCACTTTCCTTGGCTCTAAGACAATGATATAGTCTTTGTATATGATGGAATTTTAATAAATACTTGTTGAAGACATTTTAATTTATTTTAAATATTTTTTTAGTTGTAGTTGGACACAATGCCTTTATTTTTTATTTTTTTTATGTGGTGCTAAGGATTGAACCCAGTGCCTCACTCATGCTAGACAAGCACTGTACCGCTGAGCCACAACCCCAGGCCCTTGAAGACATATTCTAAAATCTGGGAACGGGGCTGTGGTCATGGCAATCTAGTGTTAAACACTTATTTAGAAACACACTTTCATGAGTCATTCATTCAACAGCTTTTTTAAGCATTTCCTGTGCAGTTGGCATCATATAGCCAGGGACTGCTGTATGTCTGAATTTGTTCTGGAAAAGTCTACGGTGTGGCTCCTGTCTCTCTTCTTCTTTGCCTGCCTCTTAACCTTCCGGCTTAGATTGGAGTAGCATATTTGTTTTTGATGTATTGCTGTGTAATGAATTGCCACAAATTTAGTGGCTTTAAAGAATATCCATTTATTATCTCCCATTATTAAATATCAGTTTTTCTGGATCAAAAGTGCAGATGGGACTCAGTTGGGTTTTTGGCTCAGGGTCTCACACGACTGGGATTTAGGAGCTGCAGAGACTAGGTTTTCACATCGAAGCTCCACAGGGAGCGACACAGATCTGAGCTCCTTCCTTGGCCCCTCATAGAATTGCAGCTATGGAATTACTTAGATTTAGCAGCAGAGACTATAGTGGGAAATGAGTGAGGGTCAGGACACCAAGATCTGGAAGCAACACTTTATTACTGGCACAGCATAGGGACTTTCACTGTACTAAGCCTAAAGG